TTTAATTTTACCTTCTGTTAATTGTTTTTAGTCTTAACCCAATCCTCCTATAATTGTATTTCTTATTATTTTCTCCACATGTTTTTGTGGCTGCAGCTTCTGCAGTAGCTCACAGTCTGTGCGGCACATTGTTCATCCACCAGGAATTAAATATGCTATGTAAATCATGTTTTGCCTGCTTGATTACTCTGTGCTGTGCTGACAGGTAAGGTTTCCTGTTCAAAACAGTGACCAGTTCAAGAGGAAACATTTAACCATCAGTTACTCACAGCAAGAAACTACAAAATAAAACAAACAGGAGAGTTTTGAAATTATATAATAACATGAGATCAGGTAAACGTTTTTTTAAATGCTTTTTAAAAATACTACCGAATTTGCACTAACCAGATCTCGGAAATCTTGCATGAGAGACGGAATTAAATATTTCTGGAGATGGTTAATGCCATACTCATTGTCAAAAATTTGGGATGATCAGGGAGACTGATGAGCCATAGAGACATTAAAAAGTTAACAGTTGTATTGCCGTCTCGAAATCTGAGCTGTGCTTTCAAAAGGGTGCATTACAAGCCTACAAAGCCAAGGTGGCTGACTAAATGGGAAACTTCTCCATTCCACAGATTTATCCAACCTTGTCTTTGCCAAACCAAGGTTGTTTTGTCATTAAGAAATGGGTATGTGGGGGAATGTGGGGAAACTGGATAATCTTCTACTGACTGAAGTTAACATGCCAGTTCTTGTTGATTATGATCCAAGCCTTATAAGAGTATGACCTGAAATAATGCGTTTGCTCTCCGATTATGATCCAAACCTTGGAGTGTGACTACACTGATGGCAAGGTTTTAAAACTCAAAGTCTTCATACCTGATCAACCATCCAAACATGTAAGTACTGATCAATATTTCAGGTATTGAGACCTTTGTGAATACATGTATTCTGTCTAATTTACAGTAAGGATATCCTGTAGATATAATCTGGGGTTATTTTATCTGTGAATGATCATGTCAGATGCTTTTCATTTTTGTCAGTATTCATCCTTGTTCAGTCATCTCTTTGT